GACCCAGCACCCGCGCCCGCGCAGAGCGCCTCGAGAAGCGCGATCAGCGGAAGGAGCAGCTCGAGGTGCGCGCCAAGATCCGGGCGCAGCGCAACCAGAATGCCGCCACGAAGCGCTCGTCTGCGCGCGGCAAGGCCACCGCTGGCAAGGACCGCGCCTCGCAGATGCGGGAGCTGGGCGCGAAGCGGAGGGAGGCGGAGGCGCGGCGGGACCGCGACCGGGAGCAGCGGCAGGGCGGCAGCGACGACGACGACGACGAGGGGGGGGAGGAGGAGGAGGAGCGGGCGGGCGCCCCCTCCGCCGACGTGCGGCGGCGCGAGCCCGCGGCGAGCGCCGACCCGATGGAGGGGTTCGGAGGGGAGGGCGCCGGCTTCGAGGCGGCCGCGGACCCGCCGACGCTCGAGCGGATCCGGCTGACGCGCAACAAGCTGGAGCTGTGGCTGCTCGAGCCCTTCTTCGAGAGGGTGCTGCCGGGCTGCCTCGTCCGGATCGGAATCGGACAGCAGAGCTCCGGCCGGCCGGTGTACAAGGTGGCGGAGGTGCTCGGCGTCAAGGACGGCTTCAAGCCCTACATGATGGGCAAGGCCAAGACGACCAAGCGGCTCGAGCTCGCCATCGGCAGCGCCAAGAAGGCCTTCGCGATGAACTTTGTCTCGAACCAAAACTTTGAGGTGCAGGAGCTCGAAAAGTACCGCCGCTCGCTCAAGGAGGCGGGCGGGGTGGACCGGTGGCCGTCGCAGCGGGCGGTGGACCAGAAGGCGGAGGAGCTGCGCAAGTGCAAGGACTACGACTACACCGAGGAGGAGATCAACGCGATGGTCGCCGAGAAGAAGAAGCTCGGGCTCACCAAGGGGCGCGCGGCCGCCGACAAGGCCACGCTCGCGATGGACTTGCTCGCCGCGCGCGAGGGCGACGAGGAGACGCGCAAGCAGCTCGAGGCGGAGCAGAAGAAGCTCGAGGCGCGGCAGGCGAGCGAGAAGCGGCTGCAGGAGCAGCGCGAGGGCAAGGCCTTCGCCATCAAGGACATCAACATGCGCAACCGCGCCTTTGAGCTCTCCGTGGCCCGGACCGCGGGCGAGAGGGCGAAAGCGCAGCGGGCCGGCGACGCCCCCTCCGTCAAGGACCCGTTCGCACGCATCGAGAACCGCGGCACCAACTACTACACCATCGGCAAGGCCGCCGAGCCGGCGACCGCAGCCGCGGAGGGGGCGGGCCCTTCCAGCGCCGCCCCCTCCGCGCCGGAGCTCGCCATCGACGTGAGCGCGCCGGCGGAGCCGCACGCCGACAGCGGCATCAGCCCCGGCTTCCGCGAGCTCATCGCGACACCGCGGCCGGGCAGCAACGCAGAATTGCCCCCCGCCGAGCGCGCCGTCGCCGACATCGCCGCCGCCGGATTTGGAGACCTCGCCCTGAGCGCCCCCTCGCCGCGCGTCGGCGGCGGCCGCGCGGGTGGTGCGGCCGCTGGCCGGCTGCCTGAGCTGGTCGGCCGGCGCGCAAAGGCGCACGCCGTCGACATCGACATCGACATCGACATCGACGCGCCCGTGGCCTCCGTGCCTCGCTTGCCCACGGTGGTCCGTGGCGCGCCGCCGCTGCAGCCACCGTCCGACGCGCCGCGAAACACGCTCAGCGTCTCCGACTACAAGCGGCGCATGGGCATCCTGTAGTGTCACCGCGAAGAGGGACGTGCGCGCGCTCTCGGGCCGGCAGCGAGACGCCTCCGCGCACTGGTCGGCGGTGCCGGGAAATGCGAGTCTCGGTGCGCTGAAATTTGGGGGGGGCGTGGCGGCGGGGCGTGGGGGCGGGGTGGGGGGGGAGTCACACTGAGGTCCAGGTCGGCCGCCGGGCCGGCGGCGGTCTGCGGTGCCGGTGCCGGGGCCCCCGTCGGGTACTGCGACACGCTCGCTATGTAAAGGGCGATCCGCATACAGCCCGTTCAACAAAAAGCTCAGCGTCAGCCTCACGGCTCACTGAGCAACAGCTCAAGACCATCGCAGATTGAGGGGCTTTGCAACCTCGGGGGAAGCAGGCAGGACAGCTTCGTTACTAGGGACCGTCTTGGTCTTCCCTGTTCGTCTGCTGTGCTGACCACTCGCCCTGCGCTGCGAATCTCGTGTGGATGGGCACGCACTCCAAGTCGCCACACTAGGAATGGGTCTGCTGCTGCCATTGCTGACGATGGCGCTCGGCGTGACCTCCGAGTCCAACGCCCCGGAGGGGCAGCACCACCCGCTGGCGCCGCGCACGACTTGCTGCCGGTGTGACTCCATCGACGCCAGCAAGCTGTGTTGCTGGAGCTCCGTGGCCGCGAGGAGAACCCCCTGTTGATCGCGCAAGATAGTGAGCGCCTCGACCAGCGCGGACCGAAAGTCGTCCAGCGATGCGCCCGCGACGGAGGCGGTCCTACAGAGGCCACACGAGGTGCGTCGCCGGTGGATAGAAACGGGGCGCGATGGGGTGGGAGCGCAGCCTGAGCAAGTCGTCGAGCGACGCTGCCGCGGCGCGCCGGCTGAAGATGCTGCGGAGGCATTGACGGCGGAGGTGTGACTGCGGCAGCGGACCGTCGGGCGGGAAGAGGGCGTCGAGCAGACGGGACCACAGAGACCGCGCAATCGCGTCGAGGCTGCCGTCACTGCCCCGCTGGCAAACGTCGGCGGCGGACGCCACGAACGCCTGCACGGCCGCCTCTGCTGACTCTGACGATGAAGCGCCGTGCAGGGATGCAAGGCCGAGGCGCAACGCCCGGAGGAGAAGATCGAGAGCGGCGGCGCTCTCGCGCTGTCGAGCAGCGGCGTCAATGGCGCTGACGGGCAAAGCCCCGCTCAGAGCATATGGCACCGCCGCGTCGATGAGCGCCAGCGGCAACCCCGGGGGGCTCGGTTCGGCGGCGACGCCGCGGAACAAATCATGCAATGGGCCGGTGCCAGCGCACAGAGCCGCCTCGATCGCAACTGCACAAGCCTCGGCGAGGTGCGGCGGGGTCGGCTCCCCCGCCGCCGGATCCACGGCCGCCGCCTCTGCCCGGAGGAACGAGACGCCGGTAGACGACACCACATCGCACAAATTCCCTGCCTCCTCCGCCAGCTCGAGCAGACCTCTCGAGCGGTGGTGCGCGAGCATCCGGAGTAGCGAGGCCAACGCCGCCCGACCCTTCCCGCGCCGCAAGAGACCACTCACCTGCTCGCGCCACGCCTGCAGCCGTACCACCAGCGGCGCCTACGGTGCACGCCACGGAACGCGTTCTGCACGTGCCATGGGTGCAATGGCGGCCTCAGCGGCAGGGGCGCCGTGTTCGGCAGCAGCGATGGCCCGTCGCTATCACTCTCGGCGGCACCACTGGCTCTGACTCCGGCCGCCGGCACGTTGAGCAGCACGAGGCTCTCTTCGTCCGCGGCGAACGCGACAGCGCCGTGCGAGAGCTCGACGTGAGCCCGGACCCTCACTCTGGGGACCTCCTCGAGCAACCGAATGGCGGCTTTGCCACCGTCCTCGCCCGGCTCCTCCTCGTACACGCGCAGCGAGCCGTCGCGATGCAGCAGCAGCAGCGCACCGCAGCAGAGCCACGAGAGCGCACGGGCGGGCGAGCTGAGCGGCACACTCGCCGCGAGGCGGAAAGCGGGGCCCTCTCCTGCTCGGCCATCGTCGGCGCTCTAGAGGTCGAGAGAGGCCCCGGCCGATAGGACGAAGGCCGCGGGGAACGGTCCCACACGCCTCGAAGTGAGGCTCTCGTCGCCACCGCCGCGCCAGCAGACTGGAAGGGACGTCCCTGTGAGGCGAGACCGCTCGAGCGCCGAAGCGGGGTCGAGAGGCGGGTGCCACGCGCGCCTCCATGCACAGAGGGGCTCCGCCTGAAGCGCCGGCGGCATTGGCACCCGGTGGAGCAGCCTCACGATCGGCGTTATCTGAATCACCATGCAGAGGCGGTGCGTGCAGACCAGGAGGAGGGTGGCGTTGGCGTCGACCCGAGAGCCACTGGCGGCAGCGCGCACCCCGGCGCCCGCCGCCGCTGTCCGGAATGCTGGGGGCGTTGCCGCCTCAGCAGCTGTGATGGGACCGGAGGAGCCGTCGAGGAGGCGTCGCCGGCGGAGGCTCCACTCGTCGTATGCGGTCAGACCCTCATACTCGAGGAGCTGCGCCACGCCCGCCTCGTCACAGCTGACCGCGAGAGTCGAGGAGGACGATGGCAAAAATCGGACGTGCCGGACCGCCGCGCGGTGCAGGCTGGAGTGCAGGTCAGCGACGGCGTGCAGCGCCGCAGTGGCCCCGACATTCTCGCTGGACAAACTCCAAAGCCGCACCGCACCCGATGAGTGGCCCACAAGCAGCAAGTCCGACGAGGCCGTGAGCGCAGTCACTGCGTCGCCGCTGTCGTCGAGCCGGAACGCGCGATGCAGACTACCGCTGGCCCGCTCGAACACGAGGACTGCTCCACTGGGCTGCCCAAGCAGCACAAGGTCGTGGCGTAGGCCGACACAGGACGGCGTGCTCACCTCTGTGTGGCGCCACGACAACAGACGCACGATAGGGACATCAGTCACCTCAGCAGCCCAAGCGAGCCAGCTGGGTGGCATCGGTCCCCCGTCACATGTGTATGTGGCCGCCGGAGAATTCTTTTTTAGGGATGGGAGAGAGATTTGTGTGTGTGGCAGCCCAGCTGGCTCCTGTGGCCGAGTGTCTATTCTTGTGAGTTTGTGTGTGTGTCTGACTGTAGTCTGTGTTCAGCGTGCCGTCAAACGGATGGTCAGATGGTCACTCACTTGTCATAGTCACACACACACACACACACACACACACACACACACACACACACACACACACACACACACACACACACACACACACACACACACACACACACACACACACACACACTTGTCTCAGTCACACACACGCACACACACACACACACCTCACTCACCGACCGCACCGCGCGCACGCCCACCGAAGAAGGACTCCTTATCAGCTGGTCGGCCGCCATGCTGGCCTCCGGGCCTGCTGCGGCGCCGCGGCCGGTTGAGGCCGGGCTCGGCCCGGCCCGCGACGGCTGGCCGCCGACGAGCGCGCTCGCGCTGCTCGTCAAAATGGCGGCGGTGGCGATTGCGGCGACGGTCGTTCAGTCGTACAGCGCTCAGGCGTCTGTCGTCTGTCGTCTGTTGTCGCATTTCGCACACGCGCGCGCCGCGCGACCCGCGTCGCTCCGCGAGGGCATGAGCCTTCCGCGATTCGATCCCGCAGCCAAAAGCTGCTCGCTCGAACCGCGGCCGACTCCGCCATCGCGGCCGCAGCTGTTGAGCTCTCCAGAAGACTGGCGCCTGATATGCTGCCTCCCTGCGGATGCTGCCGGCGAGCCTGGCGGTCCGCTGCACTACAAGGATGTGCTGACTCGATGCCTTCCCGCAATCTTCTACCCGTACGACTCGGAACACGAATGTGACAGGACCATCGGGTCCTTCAGCCACCAAAGCGAGATCACCCGAGAGCAGCTGAGTCTGCCTCTGGCCTCGCCTCCCTCTCCTCCAGGCATTCGTGGCATCCTATGGGTCGTCCAGAGTATCGACCTCTGGCTTCGTGTCAGCCAGCCCCACTTTGAGGGCGCCATCAAGTACAGCGATCGCCACCTCGCTGGCCTCTCCGCAAGGCCCCCCGACCGCGTCGAACTCATCGGCGCGGGCTCTCTCGGCTACGGGACCGGCCCCAGCTTCGGCTGAGGGCTAACAAGCTGCCGAGCCCAAATCTCTGTGAGAGTCGTGATTTCTTGTTGGTCTTCAAAAATCTCTCTCTCTCTCTCGCCCACCGCGCCCTGCCTAGGTGCTAGGTCGGAAAGAGAGGAGGGAAGAGGAAAATGAGGAGCGCGCAACACCAGCCGCGGTATTCTGGTCTGTCTGTCGTCAAGACTGTGAACACCTCACGAAGCACGTATTTTCTTCATCTAACCGTGGTATACGAACGCAAAGCGATCTTGTGCTGCGCACCAAACAAAGTTGTGCTTGCCGCGCTCGGCATTGCTGGAGAATGACAGCTGCGACCCTGTGTCCACTGCCCGCGCTCGACTTCTCGCCGGCTGACGTGCGAGCCTACCTTCGCCGGGTGTACGGGGAGAGCTGCAGCAGTAAGCTGGCCTCCCGTCTGAATGTGCTCAATCTCACTGCATTGATGAATGTCTCGGTGGTGACGCGGCAGTACGTGGCAGCCCTCCGCCAGACCTTTCCGCACAGATTCGGCTGGCACTCGTGCTGGAAGAATGCTTGCGACAAGGGCCGGTTCGTTCCTACCTTCAATGTGCACACTCCGCTCGAGCTTGCGTGGCGACTGCACCTGCACCGCAAAGAAGTGTTTCGGGGGCGCGGGCATGTGGCGGTGGCCAATCACTCGTGGGCGGAAGTCACTCACTGCGGCGGCTCTCAGTTTGAGCATAGTGCCGCCTATTTCTATCGTGCCGCCGGTAGCGGTCTGTGGATTCGTCTTGGCCGCACGATTGCCTTTGGCAGCCATGAGGAGGCTGTGCGGCATTTTCTCGGGACGTCGTGCAGCCGAGGTCCGATGGAGGCCAGGGATTTCAACGGCAGGCTTCAGTGCGACAAAGAGCTTGACGCCATGGCCTCGGTGGCTCGCAGGCGGGGGTACGAGACGGTGCAGTTCCTCCAGCACTGCGACGCGAAGTGTGAGCAGTGCCCGCACGAGATTGCCGCGCTGTACGGCGGCGGCGGCCGCACGGCGTGCCCGAACGTTGAGATGAGGCGTGGGTCCCGGGCACAGTGGAGATGCACCTGCGTACCACATGGCGCCAGTTCTGGCACGCCGGCAAAACCAAGACGCGGGCTGTGTGCCTCTTGCGCTGAGTGGCTCGGCTAAGTTACCGCACTGGCTATCCCTTTGTGTTACGCGCGCGCGCGTACATGCTACATCCGCGGAACACATACTCCACGGCGCGCGACGTACAACACGCAAATCGCGGCGCTTGGCGGCACATGACCATGAGCACACAGCATGCGCGCATGACCGATGACGCGCACATGACCCATGCCGTATGTTTCTGCCGAGAGCGTGGTGGCTGGTAGGTCCCACCCTCGCCGAGGGTGTGTGTGTTCGTGAAATGCCCTACCTTCCCACTCGGCGGGTCGACCTGGTATCGGACCCCGACTCGACGGAAAGCCGGACCGGATCCTGCCGCTCGACTCCACACATGTACATGTCCACATCCGTGGCGACGATGACGGGCTTGTCCTACCGTTCAAAGCGCCGCCCGCGCCGCCTCACCCGTGGCGCCTCTCGGCCGGTGACCCGCCGCAACCGGTACGGCCCGTTCCCCGGGCTGTGTGGGCATCTGTCAGCGTCGGTCACGCTAGGACTCTGTTTGCGTCGTACTGGCACACACAAAAGAAAAATCCGTTTGCCGCCCACTCTCCCGCCCACATGTTGCCGTCTGGTATCCATCAAGGCTGATCAACGTAGCGGCCACTGTCCAAGTCCCTCATGCATCGAGCGGCGGGAATCGCTCGGCCACCCATGCAGACGACGACCGAGCCGGGCGGGAGCACGTCCGTAACACCCACCGCCACGCCGACGTTGAATGTAGCGTCCGAGTCCTTGAAGCGCTCCGGCTTTGTCGCTCCGACAAACGCCACCGATTTGCCCACTGCTGCACCTGACGCCTCCACAAACTGCGCGGTCTCGATCATCGTGTCCGTGCCGTGCGTCACCACTATCCGACGCTCCGGCGCCCGCCGGATCGACATGACCAAGCTCTCTCGGTCTTCGGTCGTTATCTCCGTGCTGTCCTTCTTGCAAACGCTTTCGCAGCGCCAGCCTTCCACCTGAGCGACAGTGAGCACCCTGATCGCCGCTGGCTCGTCAATCTCAAACGCGTATCCCATTGTTGTCCTCGGATAGTCCTTGTCGATGGTGCCGCCAAGTCCCAGTACGGCTAGCTGCAGTGCGTTTCGTTCCGCTCGTTGCGACATGGCTTCCGCACACTCGGCGCCGCCTGCAACGCGTCGACTTGGGCGTGTAACGAGACTCGGCGCCGCCTGCAACACTCGGCGCGCCTGCAGCGTCGAATCGTGTAAAAGAATTATTCGGTGGCGACAGGCAGGAAAAGGCGGACGCCCAAGGGTGGGCGACGGCTAGCGCACCACACCCCTCTCCTTAAAATCCCTGTGTGGTGGCGGCGTGCCGTCCTCCCATCCCTCCCTTGGGTTTTCCGTTTTCTTTCTTTCTTTTTCGGACAGGCACTACAAAAGGCGTACAAACGGTCGCGCGCCCCGGCGGGCAAAAAAAGAAAAATGCGAAGTGCTCACAACTGGTAGCGGCTTGCGCACGAGCGCTTGTGCACCCGACCCCGCCCGACCGTGTCTGACACTGCAGTACAAGCTCCGGGACCAGCTGTACATGTGTGTGCCCGCCCACGACTCGACCCAACCGGCCGCCGTGCCCGGTTCCACACCCCTGTATAGGGCGGGGAGGCGTGCACTTGAACAACGGAGCTCGGAGGACTTACTCGACTGCATACAGCGCCATGCGGTACGGCCCTCCCAGAGGTCTCCACCCAGCCACCTCGTCCTCGCATTCGGCGTCGTGCGCAGAGTCGAGGTGCGCGGGAGGCGCCGCCAGCGGCAGGCACTGCGCCTTTCCTGGCGCGTTGAAGCCGCCGGGGTACTCCATTCCGAAGCTGCTCCACCCCGCCGCGAGCGCGGCCTCGGCGCAGCCGGACAGCGTCCGCCCGCCGGGGAGGTGTCCCAAGATGCGCAGCGCGCCTATACTCCGTGGTCGCGACAGGATGTGTGGGGGCGCCGGGTCCTTGTTTGTAGCGGATCTTCACGGGCACGGCCGCGCGCCCTCGTTGACGAAGCATCCGATATAGGTGACGGCCCCCGGCGGAGGAGGGGAGGGCGCGGAGGGAGGCGAGCAAGCCGCGCAGCCCTGGCACCTCGGGTCGCTGCATGTCTCGTGTCTCCCGTGCCAAAGTTGTTGTGCGCACCCGTCAAAGCACCGAACGGCGAGCAGCGCGTCGAGCGCGCCGTCGCAGCAACCATGGTACGCGGGCTTGAGGCGGTACTCTTCGTCTAGGAGGAGAGGCTCGTCGGCGCCAAACTCGTAGTGGATCCACGAGTGCTGGTCGGTGAAGCCCCAAAACGTGAGTCCCTCCATCTTTGGCTGCACAAGCGCCATTGCCAGCAGCGCGCGATAAGCGTTGCGCTGTCGCCACCTGCGCTCGCTGGCCGGCCACCCGCTAATGCGCATGTCGATCTCTGACAGCGTAATCTTGAGGCCGAGGTCAGCGAAGCGTCTGAGGTTGGCCGCTGCTTTGCTCATCCAAGCCGCTACATCGCCGTCAATCTCGAGCTCGGGGCCCTTGACGTGGGTCTGGAAGCCAACCACGTGGATCGGCACGCCCTTCTGAAGCAGCCCACGGACCATCTCGTACATTCGGTCCGCCTTGTCGCCACCGTCGATCACGTTGTAGTCGTTGTAGATGAGGTCAGCGGACGGGTCGGCGTCGTGGGCGGCCCTGAACGCGGCCTCGATGAAGTCCGGCCCGAGTTTACGCATCAGAAGCGAGTTGCGGTAGGTCTTGCCGTCGCCGTGGTGGGAAGCGTCGCCCCGCTTGTCCGCGATGACTTCGTTGACAACGTCCCATGCGGGGATGCGGCCCTTATAGCGTGCGACGGTGATCCTGACGTGGTTGAGCATCTCCCAGCGCAGCGCCTCTGCCGACAAGCTCTCTGTCACCCACGGCGGCATTTGGTCGTGCCAGATCAGCGTGTGGCCCTTGATTCGCAGCCCGTGCCGCTGGCAAAATCTCACGAACTCATCGGCCTCGTCCCAGAACCACTTTCGCCGCTGCGGCTGCAATGACACCCACTTCATCTGGTTGCCGGGAGCGGCAGCGTTGAACTCACCAAGCAAGTTTGCCACGTACGTCTGGTTCGAGAGGAGAGCGTTGAACTGAATAGCAGTGCCTGCGGCGGGCGAAGGCGACCTGTCGAAATTTTGAGCCCCGCGTGGCCGCAGCTGTGACTATGCAGCGCACCAAGGTATCGCGGCTGGCCGGCCATGGGAGGCAGCATCGACATGATGTCCTGGGGACGAGATCAAGGGGACAGACGGGGTCAGCCAGCGGGGCCAGACTGTTTAGGTCAGCTACAATGACTCCGCGCGACAGAACTCGATGCCTACCGCGTAGCAGCTATCAGCATCGAACCGCAAGACGGCCTCGACCGCGTTCGTCGAGCAGCCTAGGGCTTAGTCCAAGCGATGCAAACTGCGCAGGCATCGGCGGGTATGGCGGCGCCGATGGCGGCGGTGGCGGTAAGGGGTTTGGTGGTGGCGACGGCGATCGCAGATCGACCGTGCACCGGAAAACCCGAATTTTACCCGCAGCTTGATCAGGAAGGAACCTGTCGCAGGTACGTGTAAGCTTGCACCACGCCCTGGAGCCCTCAGGGGCTCGGTATGGTTCCCAGGAGGCGAAAAAGAAGCACTCTGGCTCGGCCTCGCACTGACTCCGGCACTGCTCCTCAGCATCCTGTCCGAACATGAAGCCGGCAAAGATTATCGGCGTGTCGTGGCACTGCGCTGGAAGTCTGGACCACTTTGGCGTATTGCATATTTTTTCGAGCGGGGCGTCTTTCGGCGTTGAGTCACGAGGCGCTGTTGGTGGCGCCGGTAGAGGCGATGGCGGCGGTGGAGGCGGTGGCGGAGGCGGTGGCGGAGGTAGCAACAACGGTGCGCGGCTCGAGCAAGAGAAGACGGCGACGTCGTTGCCAGCCGGGTCCGGCCAAAAGCCAGGGCAGTTCGAGGTGAGTCGACACCATCCCCTGTAGAGCCCGTAGAGCCCCCCCTCGCTAGGCCGGGATGGCCAAACAGAGGCAAAGTTGCATTCCGGGCGCTCATCGCACATATTCCGGCACACGGTCTTGGTATCGTAGCCGTCAACAAAGTTGGAAAAGACTGGGTTCGAGTCGCCGCAGTAGTCACCATTGGACTCCTCGCGCTTGCTGCAAGCCTTCGGTGGCGGCGGTGGCAATGGGAGTGGTGGTGGCGATGGCGGTGGCGGCCGGAAGAACGCCCTTTTCGCGGGAGTCGAGCAATTGAAGACAGCGACTCCGTTGCCTGCTGCGTCTGGCCAGACCGTCTCGCAGCTTTCTGTGAGTCGACACCACTTCTGGTTGCCCTTGTTGGCCTTTGATGGCCAGATGGAGACATACATGCAGGTTGGGCGTCTCTTGCATATGGCCTGGCACGCAGCTGTTGCATCGTCGCCATCATCGCCTTCGACGTTGTTGGCGAAGATGGATGGCGAGTCGCCGCAGTATTGACCGATATCAATCGATGCGCGATAGCTGCAGTCTCTGACCGCGGGGCCTCCTGGCGGCGGGGATGGTGGCGGCGGCGGGGATGGCGGCGGCGGCGGCGGGGGGGCGGATGGCGATGGCGGCGGCGGGGATGGCGGCGGCGGCGGCGGGGGGGCGGATGGCGATGGCGGCGGCGGGGATGGCGGCGGCGGCGGCGGGGGGGCGGATGGCGATGGTGGCGGCGGGGGGGGTGATCGCAGTGGCGGTGGCAGCGGTGGCGGCGGCGGCGGCGTTGAGCATTGACTACAACTGCTGCAGCCACCCCAGCTGCACCTCACTCTCCAATGGTGCGTCTTGACAAAGCAAAAGGGCGGGCACCGGGGCGGATCCGGCTGCGCCCTGGCGGCGACAGTCGAGCAGGAGTAGGTTGCGACGTCATGCCCATTCGCCACCGGCATAGTCTGTTCACAGCTTGCAGCGAGTCGACACCACCCCGTGGTCCAGACGGAAGCAAACTCGCACGATGGATCTGCCTCGCACATACTCTGACACGCCACCGTAGCATCAGTTCCCCCGACATTACCAGCGAAGGTGGGCTCGTCCATACACACTTGACCAACAGCAAGCGATATGCGTTTGCGGCATGATCGCGACGGAGGCGACGACGGTGAGGGTGGCGAGGGCGGAGGCGAATTGGAAGGCGAAGCTCGGTCTCCCGACCAGACGAGATCGTTGTCGTGCCCGCAGCCAGTTCCCTTGCTGCAATCGTCCAGCAGCTCCCCGGAGGTGCACAGGCGTCCGCCGGCGGCCGCGCAAAGTGCTTCGGCTTTCAGCAGCGTCATGTCGCCAGGGCAGTCACCCATCCCTCCGCCCTCTGACCCCGCCCAGACTGAGCAATCCTTGTTTTTGCGCCACGGTGGGTCCTTTTCCAAGTCCGAGCAGCAGCGCACCGGGTGCAGCTCGGCCGGGTCCGCCCACCGCGGACTCTCCGAGCACCTCCCTTGCCGTCCGCACTCGACCCACGCCTGCTGGTTGAGCCCCGAGCACTGCGTGCAGCCTCCGCACGTTTTCCAGTTGCAGAGCACATCCCAGCCCTGTGTCCTTCGGGCGCACGTTTCCTTGCAGATGGGTGGTGGTGACGCCGCCGGAGGAGGAGGTGGGGACGGCGGATTGGGGCTCGCAGAGCTCGCGGCACATAATTCACAGGCTCCGCAAATGTTCCAGCTGCAGATGGCGTCCAGGCGGTGCGTCGTGCTGCCGCACCATGGCCTGCACTTGAGCTCCGGCGGCGGCGGCGGACTTGGAGCCGAAGTGACGCTCAGGGCTACCAAGGCAATGGCGGTCACCTGGGCAGTCCTGGCAGAGCGCGGCGGTGCCATTACGCGCTACCTATCAGTGAGAGGTGCGACACGATTCGTCCACTCATTGAAACGAATGAGCGATCGTCCGCTCAATGAGTTGTAGTTGCGCCTTTTTCCATTCGCCACCGGACCGTCATGAGCACTTGAGTCCTGTAACAAGCGGGATCCGGGATGTCTGGAACTGGATTCACCGAGACAGCATCCCGTGGCGTCACCTCCGGGTCATTCACATTCTGGAGCGGTTTGTATTTGCCCCCAGCTCTTCGACATACGACATTGCAAAAATCTCTCTCTAGTGTCTAGATAAGTGGCAAATGCACTGATTCCGAAACAAACGGTATTGCTAAAAATATCTTGCTTGATTCCGAGGAGGCTGTGAGCGACTGAGACCGAGATTGTGGCCGAGGCTGTGTAGTGACCGAATTAACCCCCGAAGCTCGTTTGTTTCTGCAGAGAGAGAGGCGCTGAGGGAGGGTGTAGAGGATGTAGAGTGTAGAGCGCTGTAGAGCTGTAGAGATGTAGAGCGCTCTGGAGCGCTGTAGAGCTGTAGAGCTCTACATCCGCCGCCGCGGGACGAGGCGCCTCCGTTGTAGAGCGATGTAGAGCGCGATTTTGTTGTAGAGTTTGTTGTAGAGGCTCTACAGCCAAACCGCCGGGAAGGCAGTGGCTCAAAGAGGTCGAGCCGCGCTAATGGGGTGTCTCCGAGCTTACTGGAGCTCTGATGGACGGCCCTGACTATCCCTGACACACAGAGAGTCACTCTGATGGCACACAACACCCCATAACTGCGTCATCACCAGCCTGCCATGCGTCGCCGGTGCCGCATTCATCGCTGTGCTTCTTTAGCAGGCGGTGGACTGTCGGCTGCGAGGACGGTCGCATTTGCGCGAGGCGAGGCGAGCATTGCTGCGCGTTGCATGCGCCATGACTCGCGCCAGCGCGTGCGGGAGCTCCTGGCTGAGCGTTGAGTCCAGGCGAGTTGCGCTGGCCACTACCGCTACGCCGAGCCGAGCTGACGCGCCGAGGCGCCGGCCAGTCGCAGCCGTGAGGCATGCCATAGCAGCAGAGGCACCTCCTACCCATTGGGCGGGCAGACAGAAGGCCAGGGCCGCACTGGCAAGTGCAACGCGCATGTCGGAGAGCGACGTGCCTCGTTCGCCGCTTATGATGTAGAGTTTGTTGTAGAGATTTCACGCTGTAGAGCGCCTCTACATCGCTCTACAACGGAGGCGCCTCGTCCCGCGGCGGATGTAGAGCTCTACAGCTCTACAGCGCTCTCCAGCGCTCTACATCTCTACAGCTCTACAGCGCTCTACACTCTACATCCTCTACACCCTCCCTCAGGAGAGGCGCTCGCTCGCTCACAGCCCGTTTCTGGAGGGGGTGGGGGGCGAGATAGTAGGGGGGGGGGGGGGGAGAGAGAGAGAGAGAGAGAGAGAGAGAGAGAGAGAGAGAGAGAGAGAGAGAGAGAGAGAGAGAGAGAGAGAGAGAGAGAGAGAGAGAGAGAGAGGAGAGAGAGAGGAGAGAGGAGAGAGAGTGGAGAGAGTGAGGAGAGAGGAGAGAGGATACGACTCCGCCGGCGCTTTCCTTAGTTTTTCCACGGCCGGAGATCCCCCCCCATTCCATTCACGAACCTCGCCTCGCGATTCGACGGAGGGAATGATTCTTGCTGTGACCTTCTCATTTCACGACCCCTTTTGTCGTAAAATTCTCATTTCAAGAAACAAGAAAAAACTCGCGGAATCTTCTCGGCAACTCTCTCAAGCTCACCACGATTCCGCTTCGAAGGCCCTGTCAAGGTCGATGCTGTCTGGCGATTCGCTCCGCCGCAGCTTTCGCCACGCGGTGGTCGAGTCGTCCTCGCTCCCACCTGCTGAGCGCCTCATCATGTACGACGCGTGCGACTCCCAAGAGGTCTCGCAGTCGCTGGGCGGCTCTGCGGGCTACCGCAAGCGCCTTGACGCCCGGCGCGGCAACAAGCCCAAGAAGGCCGACAACCAGCGGGACGTTTGCACCCCGTTTGACCACGCCGCCTTCAATTTCAGCAAGATCTCCAACCAGCGCGAGATTTTGGCGGTGCTCCCGGAGTACAACATTCTCACGAACCGGTTCCCGCTCTTCCCGGGGCACTGCCTGCTAACGGCCAAGGCACTCGTGCCGCAGCAGCTCTCTGCGACGCACCTCTCCGCCATCGTCCGCCTCGTCTCCCACTCCGGCTTCTCTGCCTACTTCAACTCCTGGTGCGACCTCCTCCCACACACTCGTGGCGCCTCTCGCCACACGTCAGAGCGGTCGCCCTCTTGGGGAGCCACCCGGCCTAATCGCCGCGCCGCCCCGACCGCCGCCCCCGGCTTTGCTCAGGTGCGCCTCCGCGTCCGTTAACCACTTCCACTGCCACTTGATCGACGAGCTTCCGCCGGTGGCGCAGCAGCGGCTCGTCTCTGGCCCACGCGTGCTGGGCGAGCCGACCCTCCGCCCGGCCGAGAGCAGCGGCTCGTGCTACGTCTTTGGCGCCTCGCAGCTCGGCCTCGTTGGCCGCGCCGTCTCGGCCATGCAGGCGGAGAACCAGCCGCACAACCTGCTCTTCACGCCGCTGCACATCTACGTCTGGCCAAAGCCTCTGCAGCGGCCGGCGCGCTCGTTCGACCTCTACCCCGAGACGGTCGGCGGTCCCGAGCTGGTCGGCTCCTTCACCGTGTACACGGAGCGCGACTTCGCCAAGCTCTCCGCCGCGGCAGCCGACGAGCTCGTCCGCATCAACACCGCGCCGCTGCCGGAGCGGCTGCTCAGCGGCGGCGACGATACCCGCCCCGCCACGGCGCCCGCGGCGGTAGAGGCGGCCTCCTCCTCGTCCGACGAGAGCGACAGCGAGGCCGGCCCGCCCCCGAAGCAGCCGCGAACGGCGGTGCGGGCGTGCCAGTCGCTCGACAGCTTGTCGCTCGTCAAGCTGCTCCGCTCCGGCAGCGGGCTCGACGAGCTCGCGCTGCCGCTCGCGCTGAGCAAGTCGTGCCTCAACCGCTCGGGCGGGCTCGAGGTGAGCTAGCGCACCGCACGCCGGCGCGAACAAACCCAGCGTGGAGCTCGGGGCGCTGCGCCGGCTCCCGCTTCGACTCCGCACGCGCCAGTCGGCGGCGGAGGAGGGACGAGGCGGGTTGTGGGCGGGGGGGGGGGGGTTCAGAGCTCGAACTCCACAGGGGCCGCTACGGCACGGATGTGTCGATTGCGCTTGTCAATGGAGTCTCACAGGGCCGGGGGAGGGTGGGCACACAGCTGTCGTCACGCTCTCGCTGCGATATGCGCCGAGAGATATCGATATCAATTCCATATCAGAAAAAGTGTGTTTCTATACATTTGCCGTATATAAAGCAAAGGAAAGGAAAGGAAAGAGCCGGACGGGCGTGCAGGCGCGGCGTGGCGCGGGCGCGGCGTGTCCCCCCCCCCCCCTACTAGGCGAGTTACTACGGGCGGGGTCGGGGGCCCTACTCTACTACGGCTTTAGCGTCTAGCCCCCCCCAGTCGTGTCTCCCCTAGTACGACTTGAGGATGCCCCTAGTACGACTTGAGCACTTCCGGATCAGGCGGCAGCCTCTCCTCAAGCAGCCGCTTGGTGGCGTACGCGGTGTTTTCGCGCCACAGCCACCCGGCGAGCTCGCGCAGCGTCCGCGTCTGCGCGCGCCAGGAGCCGCCCTCGGCAAAGACTGGCGTCGATTTCGCCTCCTTGCGCAGCCGCGCCTGCAGCACGTCGGCGGGTAGATGGTCCTCCACCTCGTAGTACTCGAGCTCGTACGCCGCCTCCGGCTCCGCCTCCGAGGTCGGCGGCACGCGGAAGACGTGCCCAAACACGGCGCGCGTGCGAGGCATGTGGAACCTGTTGTTTACGACTGCGAGTGTGCGCAGCCCGCGCGGGTCGGTGTGCAGCAGCCGCGTGAAGAGCGCGTTGCCGACCGTCTCGAGCGAAGCGCTCTCCTCCAAGATGGCGTCGGGAGGCACTCCTCGCCGCGTGAGGTAGAGGGCGTTGTCCGCCGCCTCGTGCCTGTTCAAAGCTGCAGCTGTCAGCAGGCGCTGCTCGCAGCGCGCCCCGCTCCGTCGTCGCTCGCCGGGTGCCTCTCGAACCCGCCCGCGTCGTGCGGGCACGGCTTGTGGGGCGTCCCCCACGCCGTCGTGATGACAAACGGCTTGGGCACGGGCGAGCGCTCGTACAGCCGTATCGCCTCCTCGAGCCGCGCGGCGACGTGTGCTGGCGGGCCGTCAACAGCCTGGCCGCCTGCCGGCACGACGATCGCGTGGTACCCTCCTGGCGGCACGTGTGGCGGCCGGTGCGGAACAATCTGGTGCGCCGTGGAAGGGTCGTCGGCCGACGGGAGCGCCGGTCCGACCAGGCTCCCGAAGAAGAGGAGTTGGCAGAGACACGAACCACCGAGGCCGGAAAAGACGCCCAGCAGGTAGAGCGGCTTTGAGAGCAGGCGGAGGTAGCGGCTCCCGCGTCCACCAGCGAGGTGGCGCTTGGCGCGGCCGGGTGTCTCTGGCGGGAGGGTTGGGTTCAGGCGGCTCCAGTCCTCTCGCATGCGCCTGTGCCGGCCTCCCTCCGTAGCATAGCCGGCACCATGCTCATTCCCCGCAGACATCCGCATGGCTTCCTGCCGGCCCGGTGTGGTGCGCGGGAGGCAACTATCGGTCGACGGGGCGCGACGTGTTTCTTTTTTGTGAACCCTTGATCTTAAAAAGAGATGAAGGACCTTCCTTAGGTCCGCCTCTCACACCCTCACTGTCTGCGATGTGAGCTTCTTTTTTCTTATCAACTCTGTCTCTCAGACACACACACACACACACACACACAGAGAGAGAGAGAGAGAGTAGAGCTCTCCACCTATCTGTGTGAATCGCTAGGTGAATATCGTGCTTGTGCGACCGCCTTTAGTTGTAAAATTCTTTTCTCCCTCCCCCCTCCCCCCACCCAGCACCACCACCACACAGCTGACGTCGCGCCTCCCTCCCCAAACAGCAAAATCCCTTCCGACCCCTCTCCTACCCGCCTAACCCCATCGTCAGAGACACATCGCGGTCGGCAAGCCGCTCTCGCCCCGGAGCTCAAGCGTCCGCGACCGCAATCTTCTCAATCTGCTCGGCAATTTCGTCCGCCGGCGACGGCGCGGCATCCGCGCCGGCGGCGTTGCCGCCCGACCCGGCCGGCTGCGCCGAGCCGCCGGTCGCCGGCGGCGCGGAACCCACCTCGCGCGTCGAACCGGCAGACCGCTCCAGCGCCGCGCGCGCCAGCACAGACTTGATTCGCTTGGGCGGGACGCGGCATCCGGCGGCGGCGGCGAGCTCCTCGGCGAGGGCGGCGTGCCCGCACTCGAGCGCCAGCTGGTGCGGCAAGAAGCCGCCGTCGTTGCGCGTGTGCGGCCCGTGCCCAAAGGTGCGCAGCGCCTGAGCCGCACGGGGGTGGGTTCGGTTCGCTGGCTCAGGGAGCACCGCCCAGCACCGCCCAGCATCGCCCCCCCCTTCTCTCGCAACCCCCCGCCCCCCTCCCGGGCCCCTGGGGGGCGGCGAGCGCGCGCCTCGGCGATGGCGGCAGGCGAGGCGCCGTGCAGCGCCGCGACGTGCAGCGGCAGATTCCCAGCCGAGTCCCTCTGGCCCGCGAGCTCTGGCCGGCAGCGCAGCAGCCTCAGCTGCGACTCCTCAGCAGCGGGGCCGGCGGCAAAGGCGGCGTGCCTGTGGAGAGGGGAGGCAGGCGGGGGAGGAAGGGTGGGAGGAGCGAAGTGGCGCGGGCCGAGCAGGCAGCAGGCAGCAGGCAGCGGGCAGCAGGCAGCGCGGCGGAGTGGGGGGGGGGGGGAGAGGGCGGCGGACTGGAAGGGTGCGCGTGTCGCTGCCTCTGTGGTGAGGGGTGCGAGGTGCGGCAGGGGAGGGGAGGGCGCGGTTTCTCGGGCGCGAGTGCTACGCGGCCAGCCGCCGCCGGAGCGCCGAACCCGCTGCGGCTAAGGTGCTCCCGGCGCGCACTCTCGCGCCGTCCCTGGCTGTCCCCTCTCTCGCGCAACTACCGGCGCACAAATCATTCGAGTGGCGATTGCGCATGCCCTCAAGAACGGCGGCGATACCGAGGTGCCCCTCCAGCCGCGCCACGTCGAGCGGTGTCCTCCCCGTCTTGTTTGAAAACTCGAGGCCGTCGAGGTAGGCGAGCGCGCAAGCCACGACAACCGCGGCAGAGACACCGGCGGAGGCGGCGTAGTGCAGCGGCAGGTTGCCGCCCTGGTCGGGCTGCGCGGCCAGCTCCGCGTGCAGCAGCAGCCACAGCTGCTTCTGTTCCGCCGCGGGCCCCTCGACCATGGCCCAGTGCAGCGCGTTCTTGCCAGCCGCGCGCGCCGGGCTGCACCCCTCGGCGCCGCGCCCGTTGGAGGGCGCCGGGCGGCGGCAGACCGCCTTGCTGGGGTTGATGGGCTGGGCAGCCTCCGCGGCGTGCTCTGGCGCCGAAGCAGTCTCCTCGTCGCGCCGCGGCCCCGACGCCGCCGACACCACTGCTCCTGACCCCTCAAACTCGAGCGCGAGCGCCGCGCCAGAGTTGGGGCCCGTCGTGTCGTCGCCGGAGACGGTAGGGGCGCAGGGCTTCGCAGCAGCGACGTGCTCCTCGAAGGTGATCGGCCGACGCACGCCGCGGATCTCAGCGCTGTACGTGTGAAGGGCTATGGTCAGCTGAGCAGCAGGCGCTCGCCCACCGAACACGCGCGCCGCGGGGTGAGAGTGGGGGCTGGGGTAGGGTTGGCGTGGAAGCGCACATGAGGTTGCGCAGCGCATAGTTTGGCACCACGTTGCGGTGTAGCAGCGACGTGTTGGTCGCTGGCGACGTGTCCCGCGAGAGGAGCCACTGCGTTATCGCGGCGCGCTCATAAGAGTGGCCGTCCGCGCAGACCACAGGATCCTCCATGATCTCCTGGGTGATCGGGCAGATGGCTGCTGGCAGGTCTCCCGCCGAGATCGTCTGCCGTTTACCCATCCTGCCCGGCCGGCCACCAGCCGCTGCAGAAGCGGCCACCCGAAAGCGACAGCGCCTGTTCCAGCACGCCGGAAAAAATGTTCGTCCGGCTTTGTTTCGTTTGGGTGCGCCGGAACCGCTTGCTTGCCACGTAAGTTTGTCGGAAAATGGCGAGTAGAGATCACGCAAGCGAACCGACCCCGCCGGACCCCTGAAAGGGAAAGGAGCGTGTGGGACATGGCGTATTGGGCCAAGCAATGGCGAGTGCGAACCGGATGTCCACCGGCCGTCCTCTGCCCGGCCATTGCGGCAGCCTGGCTGGTTGGTCGTCTAGGGACCGCCGGAGTCGCCTCCGCCGAGAGTTCGACTGCTCGAAGGGTTCGACTGGGGTCTTGTTTACAGACCGCCCTGGAAGCAGCCTCGATGAGTGCGTGCTGGGCTGCGAACGCTGCGAACGCTGCCGGTTCGTGTCGTACAGCAAGCGGTTCGGTGATTGCTCATGGTACGAGAAATGCCCACTTCTCGTGAAGGGTGACGCGGGCCGTGCCATACCAACGGGCGGCAAGGCGATGACGCTGGCTTCCGACTATCAGACCGCCGAGGTTGGGCCAATGCGAAAAGCAGGAGGTTGTGGGCTCGACTGGTGGAAGATTGCACCCGGTGCCGCCCCGTTGACGCAGCCGCTCGCCGCAAGGAGTCGCCGCCAGGAATCGGTCTGCCTTGTGATGAGCGACTCGAGGTCGATCGGGGAGGCAGGCTACCATGGGATCGCGGCGGTCATCAACAGCCAGTTTGCACAGACGCACGGGTACCGCTTTTTTTACCTGCACCAGCCGTGCCTCGCGGCGCCCGCGGCGCCTACTCCCGCATCCAAGGCCTCGGCGCCCGGTGACGGTCAGGGAGCCTGCGGAATCACGTCATTCGGCGGCGACTGCAACGAGGCGACGTCCGGGGCGTGGCGTGCCCGCCAGCGAGGCATTCGGACGCTGGAGCACTGCGCCGCTGCCGCCGAGGGCTGCAAGTACGCAAACTATGTCTCCTTTTCTGCCCAGTTTGACGACTGCTCCTGGTTTAGTACGTGCGATCTCCCACATCTAATCGGTGGCGCAGCGTTTGCGACGCGCATCCTCCGCACAACCACCGCGCTTGCCGACCCCAAGCTCTGCTCGGCGTGCACTCACCCGACCCTCGGTGGGCGGGCGGCGCCGTGGTGTAAGCTTCTCACGATAAACCAGACGCTGATGCTCAGCCGCCGCGGCGAGGGTGGGCGCGGTCACGAGGGCAGGGGCGGCGCGCGTGCCGCCCGCCGCCCATCTTGTGAGCGGGTCGTGTACCTGGACAGTGACGTGTATGTGTTGCATCCCAATCGGAGCCTGGGCGCGCTGCTCGACTGCGCCGACGCGACGCTCTCCGTCTTCAAGAATGCTCCTTACGATTCTGGACCACTGAGCGCAGTGATGGTCTGGCGCAACGGCGGCGTGCACGCACAGCGTTCGCGAGAGCTCCTCAGCGAGTGGTGGGGCACCGGCCGCTTCCGCCACTTACACCACGCCCACCCGTTTGAGCAAGACGCGCTGCAAAAGGAGCTCGCGGTGCGCTTCCCGGAAGAAGTCGCGGTGCTGCCTCACCTGGACCACTGGTTTGCACACGTTGGCTCCTTCCCTCCCGGCACAGCGAACCAGCGGGCGCAGAGGATGCGGGATCATGTGCGCGCCCACGGCATCGAGCCCAGGGTAGCACTGTCGGTGCTGGAGCACGGCGAGGATATGGTTATGGAGAGAATGGGGGCCTCAGAGTAGTAACTAGTATAATCCATTTTTTGGTTGTTTCATCGTCGTCGTCACAACTCCCGCGCGACCTCAGGAACCAGCACCGGGCAATACTACGCGACTCGCGAGCACTGACGCTGCGCTAGTTTCTTTTCCACAACACACCAATTCTTTTAAAAGAAAAGAAGAAAACAGACAACCCAAAAAAGAGTGGAGGGATGGCGGGAGGACGGCACGCCGCTACCACACAAGTAAAAAATCTTTTCCGGCTCCGGTGGTGAGCCGGTGTGTGTGCCAGTCCGCGCCAGTCCGCGCCCTTGTCGTGCCAGTGTATAAATAAATAGAGCAGTCATCTCCAGGGAGAGTGTGATCTGTGATCTGTGTGTGGTGTGTGTGTGTGTGTGTGATGCCATGCGTGACCTAGTAGTGTCCCCAGCTATGGGCGTGTCCACGTTGGAGCCAGGTGTGGTGTGGACGCGAGAATAGCTCCGCCGTTCATGGAGGCAACCGATGCGAGTCGACTGCCAGGGAGAGGAGAGATGGGCGACGCACACGAACAAAGAGGGACAGTGCGCACCCCGCCCCGCTCGCAGGGCGTGCATCACACAGGTGGACTGTGTGACTCCTCGGGTTTCTGGGACTCGTGCCAAAAAAGAAAGAAAGGAAACAGACAAGGCCAGGGAGGGATGGGAGGACGGCACGCCGCCACCACACGACAGGGATTTTTAACCATTTTTCCCTCGGGGGCAATTTTTCTTTTCCGGCTCCGGTGGTGAGCCGGTGTGTGTGCCAGTTGCTCAGAATTCTTTTCCTCGCGCGTTGCTGTAGAAAACACACGTCTGGGCCGAGGGTGATGTCGCGGGCGCGCGATGCATCCGCCTCCAGAATCTTCAAGCTCTCGCCGGCAGATTTTGGCCGCATGCAGACCGCGGTGCGCGAGCGGCTCCGCGAGCGCGGCTCCAGCGCGAGCGACGAGGTCCTGCCAGAGTATGTGATGGTGATGGTGCAGAACCAAAAGACGCAGGCACAGGTGGCGTCGGAGCTCAAGGCCTTCCTCGGCAGCGAGGCCTCGCCATTCACGGAGTGGCTGTGGTCGCGGCTCATCGCGACAGCCGACGGCACCCCCTCCGCCAAAGCCACTGCCGACAAGACAGCAGCTGCGGACGGTGCGGGGCGGCGGCGAGGAGGCGGCGAGGGCGGCGGCGCGGCGAAACAAGCCAGCGCGGCACGTGGCGAGGGCGCAGGCGGGTCACGTCGCGCCATGGAGAGCGAGCGCGAGCAGCGGGCGCGCGAGTGGGAGGAGTGGGCCGAGGAGAAGAGGCGCAAAGAGCGTCTTCAGAGAGGCAGCGCCGCCGCCGCCGCCGCCGCCGCCGCCGCCGAGGCCGAGTCGGTGTCTAACGAGCGGAGAAAGGGCGCGCTGGCGCGTGCGTCCGACCCGTCGGGCAACGGCCGCGCTGCTGCGTCGGGCTCTGCCGGCCAAGGCGGCGCGGGCGGCTCGGTGTTTTCCCGCCTCGGCTCGAGCGAGCGCGCGGCGAGCGAGCCGCTGCAACTGGCGGCCGCCACCGACACGACGGGCGACGCGCTCGAAGACGAGGACGTGGCCTTCACCCTCACCCTCACCGGCAGGCCCGCGCAGCGGCGGCGGCCACCGACCGACCCGCTCGCCGCAGCGCAGGAGGGCGCCGCCGCCGCCCCCCCCGCCGCCTAGCTAGCGTCGCCCCTCTCTCCCCCGGAGCACTCCCTCCCCCAGCACACACCTCCCCATCCGCCCACAGGCCGCCAGGCAGGCGGAGCTGGTGCAGGCGACCGTGCAGCAGGAGCTCGCCGCCCTCGCCGCGTCTGGAGTCGTCCACCGCTGGCGCGGGCGCGGGCGCGGGCGCGGAGCAAAGGGCGGCCGGGGCGGGTTCCGCGGGGGGGGGCGGGGAGTCGGCGGCGCGGGCGGCAAGGGGTGGGCGTCCGAGGGGAGGGGCAAGGGGTGGGTCGCCGAGAGCAAGGGCAAGGGCCGGGCCGCCGAGGGGAGGGGCAAGGGCTGGGCGGCGGATGCCGCGGGCCGGGGCGGAGGCGCCGCGAGCCTCCCGTCTCCCACACGCGCCGTCGCCGCGCGTTGAGGGGCGGTCTGTTGGCGACTGTCAGGCGGCGCCTCCCGCACGTGGGTGCGGCCGGGCCTCGCGCCCGCGGCGGCGCCAGCGCAGCCGGCGGCGGCCAAGCCGGCGGCGGCCAAGCCGGCGGCGGCCAAGCCGGCGGCGCCGGCGCCGGCAGGCAAGGTGGCGGCGGCCAAGGCGGGTGCCACCAAGGCGAGCACAAAGTCGCCCCGGGTGCGCGCGTGGCCACCCACAGCCCGCCCCGTCCTGCCGCCGGCGCTGCTCACTTCGTTGCCCCCACCCTCTTCAGGCCTCAAACGGTGGTTGGAACAAGTTTGTCCGCCAGGCGTGACGAGGGAACGAAGACGAAGAGGTGAATCATGAAGCGACCATGACGCCCGTGCGGCACGGCATCGCGCCAGCGGACGGCAGAAGCGTCCCGGAAGCACGCTCTTTGACGGCCTGTCTGACCCGTGCCGCGCGGATGTGATGCGTTTCTGTCCGCCCGCAACCCCCGCAACATACACGGGGGTTCCCATAGCGATTTCTCCCCCCGCATGAGTCCAGAGCGATAAACGGGCGGTGCTGCAAAAAGCTGCTTATTAGAAAAGAAACCGAAGCTCACAGGCGTACGGAAAAGAGCAACGCTAAAGAATTTTGCGAAACGCAGACCGATCGTCAGGAAAGTGGCCCCTCCGCGCTCCGGCCTCCGATACTGGGCTGGGGGTTTTTAGGCATTGTGGGGTTGGCACTCCCATCGACCCTCATGACCTCCTGCGGTCTCTGAGATGGACACCAGTGGGTGTGGGACCACAGCCAGGATACACTCGAAGGCTGGGTAAGCAGTAGAGGTCGATACTCGACGCGTCCCACATGGTCTGTGTCGCTGTCGGCACGCTGTCGACAGGACGCGTCGAGTGACACCGGTGGCAGTGCCACCCAGGAGTGGTCGGGCGGTCTCCCGTCATGAGAGAGCCACCATGTGATCCGTATGATGGTTCCTGACAACCGCCTCAGTCACTTTTCGTCACAGTTCCCGCTCTGAGAGGAGCTGCGGGTCAGTTCGACAGCTGGAGCTGTGTCGCCGGCGTGCGGCGGCCTGCCTCCGGAGGTGCCTCTGAGGTGGACATTTGTTGGTCACCGTGAGAGAACGCGTTCGAATTTTCACTCGGGAACTTCAACTGAGCACGCGCACCGGCCAGGGCTACAATAGTGCCAGTGAGGCGGAGGCGCGAGTCGGACGGAAGGCCGCGACCGTGATTTGGTTTTCGACATTTTCCGACATTTTCCTACAATAATAGCCGTATGTCGATCTCGAATGTCGCGCCTGAACGCGGTATGTAGCGGTCGCGGTATGTAGCGCGACCCCCGCTACATATCGTCCGGTGTTATGTATCGGTCCGGAGTGGTACATATCGGTCTAGCGCATAGGAGGTGGTATCTAGCGCTCGGGATATAATCGGTCAACGCCACGGTGTGAATTACTTCCCACCAACAAAGCACATATCGTCTGACTTCACTTTTTGACAGCTAAAATCTGCCATTTTCTCATCGAGATCAGAATCTCGCGCCAATCTCGTGCAATCTCCCCCAATCTCAATTAATCTCGGTCCAGACGAGGACTATTCAAATTTTGAATCCGCAGGGTAATGACCAAGAAGAGCATGACAAATCATAACGGCAAATCTGCGCAAGATTCACTGAATTTTCATCGAGTTTCTCTCAGATTCCTTTTTTGGCTGATATGCACCACGCGCGATATTAATCAGCTCCGGGCGCTACATATCGCCTCCAGCGATACATATCGCTGTTGGACCGCTACATATCGCCCGCGCTACATATCGGTCAAACTGGTGATATGTAGCACTAGCGCTACATAGTCTGGCAGTGATACGTAGCGCTGATGCCACTACGTATCGGATGGCGATGCAAACGTCCGGTCGTCCGCCCTAAGACGAAAAGCACCGCCGCCGCCGCCGGGCCCCGCCCCCGGCCCGCACCCCCGCAACCCGCCGAAAATGGCAGCAAGCCTCCAAGCGGATGCGGAAGCACGAGGTGACCACCGCAAGCCCGCACCCAAGGGAGGTGGACCCCCACCCCCCCACCCCCCTCTCCCAAGCAGAAAAGGGGTTGTGAGGATCCTAGAGGGGCGCTCAGGATCCTGACCCAGACGATGGTGCGCTCAAGATCGCACCGTCTGCTCCCTCCCCCACCCCTCGCCGCCACCCTGCCAAATCCCCGCGGCCGTCTGGCTGCGCCTGCTTCCGAGTATCAGTATGACTCCGAGCCCGACTTTTCCGACGCTGAGAGGCACGGCATAGGGTGGCAGGGGTTCTACACGGACGCGGTGCAGGAGGCTGTGATGCAATGCGGCTATAGTGACGAGCTTTTTTAGGCGTGGAGAGAGGCAACCAAGATACGGCAAAAGGACTTGCCGGAGAAGGCTTGCCGGAGAAGGTGATGGCTATGACTTTGGACCTTTGCGAGAGGTGGCGAGCGGAGCAAGAGCGGCGCGCGTCCACGCTCCTGCGCAGCGGCTCTCTCGCGACCACAGCCCCTCTTTTGCAGCCGCAGCCGTAGCCGCAGCCCCAACTCTCGGCTCGGTCTTCGAGTGTCGGGTAGCGGTGACCGGGGACCGACGGATTGACCCCCTTAAGATTTCTTTTGCGTCAGGGCGCCCGCAATGCTCAGACAAGCGCTGAGACAAGCAGCTCCGCGCTTCGGCGCGTCGCCGCTTGGCGCGCTGCGCAGTCTGCGCGTCTCTGCGCCGGCGCAACAGTCGGAGGTGACGCGCAGCACAACGCCGGGCGGCGGCTACGTCACCACGGTCGACCCGAGCAAGTTTGTCGAGTACCATCTCCATCGTCATTAAGCGCTGGTGGTTGAACCAGATGAGCAGCGAATAATTCTTTTTGCACAGGCGGCGCCAGATCAACGTGATCGAGGGTCTCGGCGGCTTTTATCTCTTACTAGGAGACTACAGACGGGCTCATCTATCTCTTCCAGGAGGGGGCCCGGGAGCGCCCTGCGCACCAGCAAGTGCTCATCTTCTTTGCACAGAGGGGCCGCCTATGCTATACTAGTGGCTATACTAGTGACGGGGTGCCGCTCGGCCAGACTGGTGGGGTTCGCGCACAAGCGCCAGTTCAACACAGAGAGCCCAACACTCCGCACGTGAGAGTCCTCTTCGCCGCCCCCAAACCAGAGCAGACGCCGGGGCCGCGTATTGCAATCCTAGAACTTTCGCCGATTGCGAGCGACACCACCCACAGTCCTACACCTTCTAGGATTGCGAGCGGGTCCCCTCGCAATCGGTGCGATCACTGTTTGGATTGTGAGGAGACCCCCCCCCGGCGCGCTCACTCACAAGCGCTCGCGGCTGGAGCGATTGGGAGCGCCCCCTGTGCAGTTCTAGCAATCCTTGGATCTTGGGTACGATTGTGAGCGCCGCCGCTCATAGTCCTACAAGATGTAGGATTGCGAGCGCTACTGCTCGCAATCGGAGGCATGTTGCTCGGATTGTGAGCAAAGCTGCTCCATCCTAGACTTTGCTCGGATTGCGAGCGCGCTGGTAGTAGTCGTAGGCGTCACCAGTCACCTTGGGAGCGGAGCTGCTCTTAGTCCTAGAAGATGTAGGATTGCGAGCGTAGGTGCTAGCAATCGTACACAGAGATGCTACGATTGCGAGGAGTGCTGCTCACAATCCTTCGACTTCTTGGATTGAATGATTGAGAGCGGGGCTGCTCTCAATCCTAAGCGGTCTACCAAAAGACGGTTCACCGGCAGTGCTGGAGTGTCCTGAACCCGGCGACTAATTCTTTTTGCACAGGCCCGCAATGCTCAGACAAGATACGGCAAAAGGACTTGCCGGAGAAGGCTTGCCGGAGAAGGTGATGGCTATGACTTTGGACCTTTGCGAGAGGTGGCGAGCGGAGCAAGAGCGGCGCGCGTCCACGCTCCTGCGCAGCGGCTCTCCCGCGACCACAGCCCCTCTTTTGCAGCCGCAGCCGTACCGCAGCCCCATTGGGGCTCGGTCTTCGAGTGTCGGGTAGCGGTGACCGGGGACCGACGGATTGAGGCTTAAGATTTCTTTTGCGTCAGGGCGGTGTCGAGATCCTGCTTGGCCTTCTCGACAGCCGCCGCTGCAGCCTGGATGGCGCTCGCGGAGTCGGACGCGGCCGCCACCGTCTGTTGGTGCCCCTGCTGGGCAAAGGCGAGGCGGGCCTCCGCGTCGCCGATTCTGGTCGCCCGCTCCTGCGCGCGGCGTCGGTCGGGTGCATTCACACCGACGCTGGCGGCTATCTATCTCCTGAAAAAGAAAGAAAACAGACACGCCAAACGAGGGATGGGACGAGGACAGGGTCCCCACCTGCACGAGCAGGATTTTGGAAGGACGATCAGGGGGACAGGTGGGGCTCTCCTGCTCCTGACAAGGGACACGACAGGCTCGCAGCGCGGTGCACGGTGGACTCCCACATCTATCTCCTCAGGAGGGGGCAGACTGCTCATCTTCTTTTGCACAGAGGCCGCCATGCTGAGGCAAGCGCTGAGACAAGCAGCTCCGCGCTTCGGCGCGTCGCCGCTTGGCGCGCTGCGCAGTCTGCGCGTCTCTGCGCCGGCGCAACAGTCGGAGGTGACGCGCAGCACAACGCCGGGCGGCGGCTACGTCACCACGGTCGACCCGAGCAAGTTTGTCGACGGCGAGAGCCTCACCGCGCATCAGGCGCGCGTGCGCCACGCCGACCCGGCGAACCGCACGTTCAACTATGCGATGATCGGTGCGCCGCGCCCAGCTCGCGCCCGCCGTTGCAGCGCGCCACACGCAGCGCGGCGTCTGCGGCGCAGCCGCGTGCCGCTCCCCCCTCGCTTCCTCAGCCGGCAGCTCGACCGACTCGCCGCCGTAGGCGGCGCCAAGTTCATCTCTGCCTCAGCCTGGCGCCTCTGCCTGATCAAGTTCCTCGCCCAGATGAACCCGGCGGCAGACGTGCTTGCGATGGCGTCACTGGAGGTTGACATCTCCAAGCTGAGTATGGGCGAGTGCATCACGGTGAAGTGGCGGGGCAAGCCAGTCTTCATTCGGTCGCGCACCGAGGATGAGATCGCCGAGGCCGCGGACGTGAACCTCGCCGAACTGCGCGACCCGGAGAATGACCTCGACCGCGTGCAAAAGCCAGAGACCCTGGTCGTGCTTGGCGTGTGCACGCACCTCGGCTGCGTCCCGATCAACAAGGCGGGCGACTACAACGGGTGGTTCTGCCCGTGCCACGGCTCGCACTACGACACCTCTGGCCGGATCCGCAAGGGGCCGGCGCCGCTCAACATGGAGGTGCCTCCCTACTCCTTCATCGAGGAGGAGAAGCTCCTGATTGGCTGAGGGGACGCACGCGTGCCGCGCGCGATCTAGCCCGCGTCCCTAGTGCTCGAGTCTGCCCCTCCGCAGCGGAGCGCTATTGTCGTCGATCCCGCCCGCGAGCGGGCACTGCCACTGGCGCAGCACTCCACCTTGCCAGATCACAGAGGGCAGCGGTCACATCGTGACACGCGTCTAAGTCCGTCTATACTGTCTTGGCTCTTAGTTACAGGCAGTCGTGCCCTACTAGTCGCTAAACCTTTCTTGCAATCTCAGCGGAGACTTCGACCACTCTCTCGCGATTCCGCACTGCGGTCACTCTGTGCACAGCCACGCACAAAGCGCGCCGGCGCGCGGCGCGCCACGGGACGGCGCACGGGGGCGGACCATGAACGTGCGCGCCGTTCCCGTTCCGCATAGCGGATATCATACCTCGTCATGTCCAGTCTGCCCCTCAGCGTCGCGTCGATTGCCCATTTTTTCTGCGAGCGCGGCGAGCGCGGCGCAACTCGACGTGAAGAGGCCTCTCCTCTCCTCCTCGTTGCCCGGCTCATCTTCGACGTTGTGGAATGCCACGCCACGGGCCGCCGCGTCAAAGCTGAGGAAAGGGATGCGGGTGCGTGACGACTCGTGCGAGTGTGTCGATGTCATGGGTTGCGACTCACCTCAATAAGTGTGACTCGAAGGCTGTGCCGCTTGGTGGATGACCGGCATGGAGTGCGGCGGTGCCCTGCACAAGAGCATCCACGATCTGTGAGAACCCCTCCGCCTGTAGCCGCTGGACCTCGAGGATCGCCATGTCGCTGCTTACTGGGGACGAAGCAGAGAGCGCAGCAGCAGATAGCAGGACGAGGCTCGGGAAGTGGCGGCTCGATCGCATTAGAGGGTTTTTGCTAAGGTTCCACACGCGTCCCACACGGAGGTTCCACACGTGAGAGCCGGGACTCGTGGTGTGGGAGCCTCACGACCACACACCTACACGCTCAATCTGTGGGACCCACCGACACCGAGCATGACGGTGTAGCTTCGCGCCCCCGGCCGCCAGCCATCCCCGATGGACCCCCCACGCCCACTCCGCGCTCGGCAGCGCCTCTCATCTCACCGAACCGCCCGCCCGCCGCCCCGCTGCCGACAGGATCCCATCGACGTCGAGCCTACGGAGGTGCTGCCGCCCGCCGGCCGCGAGGAGAAGCAGATCGCCGTCGCCGCCGCCGCCGCTGTCGCCGCCGCCGTCCAGCCCGCCGCCGCTGTCACCGCCTCCCCCCTCGCCGCCGCCGTCCTTGCCGCCGCCGCCCTCGCCGCCGCTGTGTAGCCAGCCGCTTCCCTCGCCGCCTCCACCGTCGCTGCCCTCACCGAGCCCGCCGCCGCCGCCGCCGCCGCCGTCGTCGTCGTCGCCGCCGCCCAGCCCGCCGCCGCCCAGCCCGCCGCCGCCGTCGCCGCCTCCCCCTCTCGCCGCCGCCGCCGCCCTTGCCGCCGCAGCCCTCGCCGCCGCAGCCCTCACCGCCGCAGCCCTCACCGCCGCCACCCTCACCGCCGCCGCCCCGCCGCCTCCACCGTCGCCGCCCCCACCGAGCCCGCCTCCTCCTCCGCCGCCGCCGCCCTCGCCGCCGCCTTATTCGCTGCTGCCGCCCTTACCACCGCCACCGTCGCCGCCGCCGCCCGGCCCGCTGCCGCCGTCGCCGTCGCCCCGACGGCGGAAGGCCGCAGCGGCGGCTCCGTCGCCCACAGCCACACGCGTACGAGGCGGAGCTCGATGCGGCGGCTGAGCTGGAGACGAGGAGGAGTGAGTAGCATGCGTCCTCTGCCACCGTGCGCGTGTTATGAGGTGGTGCGAGAGAGCCATTTGCGTGCGAGCCCGTGCCCCGTCCCGCCACCCGCCCGCCCCGCCCCGGAGCGCGACAAAATGTGAAGGGTGGGCCACTTGTGTTGAGGGATGGCAAGACCACCAGCTAACGATCTTGTTTTGCAGTTTTTCTATGTGCCGTACTATTTTCACAAAGTCTTTGAAAATCGATCCACGGCGCACGGGACGATCCCGACGCCCGACCGACGTAGAAAGAAAAGTGAAACTTTCCCAAGACATATCCGGTGTGGGTGGCGTGTGTGGGAGGCCCTTAGCAAAAACCCCTTTTCACCTGACCGCTGAGCTACGTGTGGGACGATGGTGTGGAACCTGATCTACACCCTTAGCAAAAACCCCCCATTGTACCGGGTACCTGTTATACAATTGTATGTGTGGCTTGTCTCTCCGGAAAAACTTCCCCTCCTAGCATGGAGGACGGGCCCACACGCACACACACGCTGCACACGATTGGCTCGGGAGCCGACACGAGGCACGCTGTCACCACCGCCGATCTCCCGGCGGAATTCGCCCACACTGTGTTGCCCGCCGCCTCCTCTTCTTTTCCTGATTCTCAGAAGAAGTGGCTGAAATCGGTTACACTGGCGCCGCTCTTCGGACACGAGCAACGCAAACCACCGACCGGGCCCAACGTCTCCTGCCTGACAATGCCGCTGAAGTCGCCTCTGTCCCCTGCAAAGCCACCCGCGGGACAGTACGAGCCCAAACTGTTTGCTTCCGATAGACCCCGCACCGCCCTCGGGGGTGAGATGGTCGGCAAGAGGGCTGACTTGACGGTGGAGCTTCCCGCAGCTCCCGCGTCGCCCGCGAAAGGCATTCCCCATTCGGGAAAAAAGGGGCTTAGGCAGCGTCCACAATCGGCGCGTTCGTCGCCCAAGCCATCCTCAGGGCGCGCTCTTCAGAATGGCCTCCACCTGACAAAGGACGGTGGGTCGAGCTGGGCGGCTACGGTGAAGCCTGGGGCTAATAGCACTTGTGGGAGATAGTACACGAGAAGATGTCCATAGGAACAACGAACGAGATGGAAATGGACGTCCTATCTTGCTATATATCAACGCGAGGGTCGGGAAACTGGAAGTGGGCCCGCATGTCGGAGGCGCGGCACACGGCTCAAGTCATGACAGCCATTTTCACACCTGTTATGGCCGCTGCCATAACCTTGTTTGTTTGTGTATGGGTGGGGCCAAAAAAGCGAAGTCTTGTTTGTCTCTTCGTTCCTTTAAACTCCCTCGCCGAAAGGGGCAGGGGCTGGCGAGAACTGGCAGAACAGCAAGAAAGAAAGTCGGGGACGCGAGCGAGGCAGCGGTAGAGGCGCGCGCTCGACGCTCCGACTTTCGCGAGAGATGACTGGCTCTTCCAGCGACGCAAAGCTGCCGTACAGCCTGGACAAGCTCTCTTGGGACTCTGCGCACCACTTCAACACGCAAAACAAATACGGCTACGCGGGTAAGGGTCGGAAGCTCGGCGACGCGATGCTGCAGTGCGAGACGTGCCTGCAGTGGTTCCACGCGCGAGAGGTGTCGTGCCTGACCGACGCAGACGTCTTCGTGCCCTTCCAGCGCAACTACCGCTTCGCCTGCCGCATCTGTGCCGGCGGGCGCGAGCAATTCGAGCCGCTCACCAACCCGTGGTCATGGATCGTCGTTACGGCGGTGCAGAACCTGCAGCTGCCGCTCGAGGCGAAGAACGCGGAGGTGGTGGAATGCACGAGCAAACTGCCCGAAACGCGCAAGTGGGTGCCGGTCGCGGAGATCGTTCAGTGGATCCGCAACCACTGGGGATCGCTCTGCCACGGCCGCGCGCAGGCGCAGCTCGACGACGCCGGCGCGG